ACGACGACGACGACGACGACGACGACGACGACGACGACGACGACGACGACGACGACGACGACGACGACGACGACGACGACGACGACGACGACGACGACGACGACGACGACGACGACGACGACGACGACAACGACGACGACGACGACTAGTTGCAGTATTTCTTGGTGTCTAGCCTCTTGTACTTGGGATTGTAGGGCGCCTTGGCGAAGCACATGGCAGCAGCACGGTCGCAGTTGCAGATGAACATCTCGCACTTGTTGTTCTTGCCTGGAAGAGAGAGCAAGAGCAGTTAGACCCTGCAGCTCCTTCACCAGGCATGGCAGTGACTCAGGCAGGCATTTCTGCTGCCAGGGCGTAGCCGTTCCACTGCTGCCATCATTTTGGGGGTGTATGTGCTTCTCCCCGCTAACCCTCTGGCCTCAAAGCTGCGTGCTCTGGCCCAGCAATCTCCTTGCTCCTTCCTTCCCTGCAGTTCTGTTTGCCAGCATATCTGCTATGTATCTCCATTCCAGAGCCCTATAAGAGCTCCACCATTACATTCGAGATGTCTGGCAGAAGCTGTGTAACTCTCCCCAATCAGCATGCTGCTCTCTTAAGTACTGCCATTAATGGACTTCCAGAAAAGTACCACAGGGACGCAATCCCCTGAAGAGGGGACAGGCTTCCCTATGTACTGTGATATCATATATCTTCCATAAACTTTAAATTGTGTGGTACATGGAGAATATTCACTCTGGTGCCTATGTGAGGTGCCCCATTTCTAACAACCAGGCCCCCCGGCAGGGACTTGCGCTGCGCCTCCCTGCCACAGAAGCATGGAGTGTAATGCAGCCCAGTTCCTTCAGAAGAGAGACTGGAGTAATGTTTGAAGAGGAGTGATGTGGAAGTGGACGTACTGTTACACGTAATCTGCCCACTGGAGCAGCTGAACTTGTACCACTCTGTGTAGGGATTGTCCAGAAGATATCTGCATGATGGTTGTTCATTTGCCTGCGAGTAGCAGCTGTCATGTACTTGACAGCACCTGGGAAACAAGGAGGAAAAGGTCAGAAAATACCAGAAATGCAAGCTCAGCTGACCTGTAAGACACGTAAATACACTAGTATTGCTTTGACAAGGCACTGAACAAAAAAAAGATACCCAGTGGTAAGAGGGCAGACACGAAGGACCTCAAAGGGACCCGTTTCTGCTAGCTCATGGTCCAAGAGGTGTCTGGTACACATGTACTTACCGGAGCATCTTCACAGAGTTACCTATTGGGCACAGGGAAAGCAAAAGACAGCATTTACCCTACGTTCCCCGTCAGTGCCTGGTAGCTGAAGAGCTAACAGCTGACACAATCCACCGCGTCTTGGCTATCAGTCTTGTGTGATCTCTAAACTGCCCAAGCCACTTCTTAGCGTTTTGCAGCTCAGCCCTGCACGTGTTGATGGTCGTGCACTGGGCAGTGTGTGCTCAGAGCTGCGTCCGCGCTGCTGGCACAGCACTGCTGCAAAAAAAAATGCTGGAGTGAGTGCAGTCTAGCTGCCACAGAAGAGAAAAGAGAGTTGTTGGGATTATATTTTATCTTAGTAATAAGGCATCAAGGTGTGATACTACACAACCTTTTTCCCTTGAATCGGTCTTTGAAAGAAAGCTTCATTCACAGCAGCTGGAGAGTTTTGTGAACATCTATAGGCAGGGCCAGCTGAGATGAAGCTGGCGTGCAGAACTATGAAAGCACAGGCAAGGAAAGAGGTTTGTAAAAGCAGAGTCTTGTAAACCTGTCAAGCTCATCCACTGGTGTCCCACTGCCTCCCAAGCCACAGTAGCAGCCGTAGTCAGCAAATTGCAGCAGAGGATGGCTGTCCGGCATAGTGCATTTGATCATCCTGCGAAACTCCCACACGGCCCAGGGTGAGACAGCTGTGCTGGCTGCGCCCACTGAGAAGAGATGCAAAGGTTAGAGTTAGGCATGGTGTTACCTGTCTAGAGGTGCTGGGGCAGGGTGAGTGCCACCTCATACCAGAGAGCAGGAAAAGCAGGGCCAGGGACTTCATTCTCGGAGGACTTGACAGACTGGTGCTAAAGAAAACATGGCTTTTTATACGACAAGCTCACCTTGACATGGGTTTGAGATAAACAAGCCAGTATTTATGTTACTAAATGCAGAATTCTTCCATCGGAGGCTGTGGCCAGCAAGTTGTGACATGTCCAGCTGAAGGCCAGTGGAGTTAAATCGGAAAGCCAGGAAGGCAAATATTTACTCTCTAGATATTTGCTATTAAATTATTTTTAATGCTTCCATTAGAAGCCAGCCTGAAAGATCTGGACATTTTTAAAAAAATGGTAGCAGTGTGGTAGTTACATTGGAAACTGGTGGCACACTAATATCCATCCTACTAATACTGGCATCCTCCTTTTACGGTATCCCACTTATCATTAATCCTGTATCTCCATGGATTCTCCTGGCCTGATTCAGAGAATAAGGCACAGGTCGTCCACTCACCCCAAATGACCATTTGGCATGAGCTGAACTGAAAAAAATTCAAGCTGTTTTTTACTTTGAAACCATACAGGAGGAATAGGTATTACTAGGCAAGAAACAGGAGCCAAGCAACCTGGAAAGCCTCTGTATCTGGCTTAAACAAGGAAGAGTGTCTGTTTTTACATGACCTTAAGGGAGTTACACTGGAAATTAACTGGGCTTGGAAGTTTCCACATACGCAGCAGACTTCAGTAGCTCAGAGACAGCAGTTTCTCATTCTCCAGCACCAAAGCAGAACCCAGTTAGGCCCTTTGGTTCTCTGTGGCAAGGCATGAGGCGAGTTGGGAGCCTTGAAATAAGATCAAAAAATGGGTAAGAAAAAGCTTCCTGGAGTCAGCCAGGGGTAAGTCCAAAATACTGCACTCATATTCAGACCCCAGAGGCTCTAACACTGTCAGGGCTACAGGTTTGGCATTTTTACACACTCAAGGTATAGATCCTAGACTGCTCAGCTGATAGAGTCTGCATTTATTTCTAAAGCACCAAGCAAGCCTTCAGTTTTTAAGAGCAGACGAAGAGGCAAAGCCCACCTTTCCGCAACAGCCTAATATACCAGAGTGCTTATTCAGGAAGCTGGGGGTTCAGTGCCCTTCAGTAGGTTCAAATGCACGTTTCTATAAGGGACGATGAGGACATCTTCCCCCTCATAGTGGCTGAAACTATGCCAGGGTGCCCATAGTATCTATAGGATGTATATCCATATCCATAGGACATCTCGTTAACGGTAGACATGCTGATGAACAACCAGAACCATTCCGACTTTTCTGCTCTCTCACAAGCTCTCTGATTCTCTGGGATTCCCCGCTCGCAGGTTAGCTAAAGCCAAACTCTTGAATCCGAGTTACAGATTCAAGATTCTTGTGTCCCAATAGTGAGAACATTGAAGGAACATTAAAGGCTGATGTAAAGGACAGTCTGTACCACAGTTAGTTCAGAAACAAGGATTTAATCTTTTGCGCACAGATCAATCAGCTGACTTTCCCTTCAATATCCATTTAAGTGTTCTCTTTCTCCTTTGCCACTTTGGCCACCTTTACTCTTTTTTTTTAATGATTTCTCTGTTCTCTTACCTGCGAACCTTAAGACTCTGTGGTTCCTTTTTCCTCATTTCTCAATGTCTGATGTTGCCAAGAAAACTTCCAATAAACTGGCTTTTTTAAGTCACAAATCAAAAATACTGTCGTATCTTGGATTTCATACATTTTAACTCAACAAGAGGATCACCAAATGTGGGAAAGCGAGCATGTGAGCATTACAAGAGTGCCTCATGAGAAAAATCCCAGCAGGGTAAAGATTTTTCCACCAATGCTATTTTTGGTTTCCCCCAACCTGTGCTGTATACAAAGCCGCTGGTCCCCCATATGCTTGTGAGGACATCCCGACTTGCAGCTGATTCCTAAACTTACAGGCTTGAGCCTTAGGTTATTTTTAAGAATTCTCTATAATTAAGAGCTGCTGCACAGGGCTCCCCACCCTATTTTACACCGTTATAATTTACCTTTCTCTTGTAGTGTTGTCTGTTAAGGACTTTTCTTCCCTTCCAATCTCTACATTTTACTTTCTTAGATCTCACCTCCTTGGTCCACCATAGTCATTGAATCCAGAGCATCTGAGCCAAACTTCTAAGCACCACACTATCTCCTCCTTTCTTGAACCTACAAATATCTATACAAAACCTCTGTAACGTAGAGAAGAGACACGATCTCTACTAAAACCAGATCTGCCTCACATTATAAACTGGGCCGCTGCCAAGGGCTGGGAGCAGGACACAGAGTCAGAGCCCTGCCTGGGACTTTTATCCTAATGGCAGGATGCGACTCCTGCCAGGTCCAAGTTCACCCGAAATCTCCATTTGAAAATCTCCCACCCCCAAATAATGACAGAGAAGGACAGTTTTCAAATAATTTATTAGGAATTTAAAACTGAAATCTGGAAAAAGGGTTACAGGTGTGGAGAGAACAAACATCGGAGTGTAATAACTTACTGGCTTAAAAACACAGCTTTATTTCTTTTAAAAAAAATGCCCACCCTGAAACCGGAGCCCCAGCCTCCAGGCAGTGGCAGCACTGGCCAGAGAGTGAATCACAGCCCAGCAGCAGCACAGCTGGCCTTGGATGTCTGGAGGGGGCACAGAAGCAGTTCAGCGCATATACCAAGAGGGAGGAAAGCGCTGTCCGCAGACCCAAACTTGAAGTATATAGAATAAAAATAAACCCAATAAAATGCAGCTTTTCTTTAATTAGGAAATATTTAAAAAAACAGACATACAGACTCTTGTCTCAGTAACAAAAATTATTGCTTTGTGTTTTCAGTACTAATCTGTTAAGTACCCTCTTACCTAAACAGAACTCTCCAAACGCATCGCCCAGGTCAGGACAAGCTCCGGCAGACGGGGGAGGGACGGAAGAGAAGGGCCCTGTGGGCATCGTGGCCCTCCCAGTCCTTTTCTAAATGCCCCCCTCCCTTACAGGGGCTCAGTTTGGGGGAAGAGAGGGAATGATTTTTAAAACTTAAGATGAAGCTGTTATTTCCCTGGGAAAAGAGTTTGGCTGCATCTTAATAAAAGGCTTAATCACCCCCCTTAACAAGGTCTTTGGTTCACTGAAATCCAGACCCAAACCTGCCCCGTGTACTCCTGCTGGAGGCTTCCCCTGGCAGAGTGCCTGTTAGCAGGGGCCTGGACCACACCAGGGGAAGCCTCGGCAGGTTCTGGAGAAGGGACCAGATCACCCCGCACAGGACAACAGACAAATTCCCACAGTCTTCAGAACACAGAGTAAAGCAAACGGGAAGCTGCAATTCTATAATTCATATAATCCCTGAGAAGCCCTTAACCCGCCCCCAAATCACCACCCTAATGCTTTTCTCCCCCGTTAATGACTCCCCAACCCAGCGCCCTGCCCTTCAGAGAACGACCACCCAAATCTCCCCCTGGCCCTGGCCGACACCCCTTCCGACACCCTCGCCTCCGGAGGAGGATCCCCTTTCCCAGGAAATCTTGACACAAACGATAGTGTTTGGAGAGTGAATTCCTTTCAAAGTAACCAAGACAAGCAATGGCGGTAAAGCCCTTTACCTAAAGCCAAACCGGAGGCTGGCACTACGGAGCCCAGTGATGGAGTCTGTACATCGAGCGATTGGAAGCAGCTTTAACCCGCTCAGCAAAACAGCCGATGGCCGGTGCGTTTCACCCCCGCCCCCACCCCCCCTTTCATCTCATCAGAGGTCTTAAAATCTTACAGTAAAAGGTGTACAAAAAAAGAACGGAGTCCTGTCAGGATTCTGCTGGAGAGTATTGCTCACACTGCGGCGCCAAGTCCAGGACCTGGAGCTGCTCCTTGGAGCCAGGCTGCGGGCGGCAGCCAGGTTCAGCTCGCGATATTTACATATTATACAGGAGGAAAAAGAAAACCCCACGTAAAACTAAACCTAGGAAAAAAAAAAATCTTTCAGCTGTAAGGATAGTGTTTTTCACTTAGCAAAATATACATTTGTTTTGTTCCATAGCGATGTCCAACGTTTTCGGATCCTTGGAGTTTCACGCTTTTCAAAGCCTCACATTTACAAAACAGAAACAATTAAAAACAGTTTCTTTAAAAAAAATAGAAATACATCAGTTCCTCTCAGCCTTTGCTCTCTGTGTGTCTCTTTCTTCCCTTCAGAACTGCATTCTTGTTACATACCGTGCTTTAAAAACACTGACGACAACAACAACAGAGTTGAAAATATTCAAAACAGTTTCAAAGCCAAATAAAAATACTCCTCAATAAAAACTACCTAACACAATCACAAAGCCAATTCATAAAATATGTCTACTAGCTCGGGAAAGAGCAAACAACAAAAAGAAGGGGTAGCCCCAAAAAAAGATAAAAAAATAAAATAAAAAAATAAAACTAACAGCTAATAAAATAAATAAAAGAAGAATCGGTGGGCTGGGGGCAGGGAGGGGGGAAGCGTAAACCGTCGGTGGTTAGTAAGAAAGCGAGATGATCTCCTTGGGTTCAGTCCAGTGTGGTCTGGTCAAAGGGAGAGATCAGGGCAGGGCGGCAGGAGCCTGGCAGCCAGCCGGCAGTGTGCAGTTTGATTCAAGAAAAAGGTAACCTTGGCTCATCCCCCGAGGCTCACCAGATCCTCCAGCCGCTGTCCTCGGTTAGGTCACTGGGGAATCTGTGGGACACAGCAGGGGAGGGAAGGGACAGGATCTAGAACAACCAACAGCTTCTCTCTTGGGGTTTTCTTCCGGTGAGATCTGACAGAAATACTCGATACCCGAACTTGCCCCAACACAGACTTGCTCTGCATCTCGCTGGCACAGCGACGGGGCATGGCAGAGATGCTTCCGTCTGTAATGGCAACGTGCAGGCCTGGGAAACAAGGCTCCGCATGCCGTGCAGGCTGCCTGCCTGGACCTGTGGCACTCCTGGCCCCCGGGAGGCCTGTGACATAGAGGGGTCCAGCCGTTTCTCCAGCACTCAGCTCGGTGCAGCCCTACCGGGCTGCCATGGGCTCCTGTCTGGACACCCTTCCCTGCAAGTTTTTGCCCTCCTTTTTGAAAAGCTGGGTTTTTTTAATTTTAAGCCAGCTAACTTCAGCCACGTTTGCAAAGCAAAAAGAGACCATCCACCAGTTCCCTCTCAGGCTCAACCAAGGACCAGAAACAGAACTGATCAGACTCAGATTTTCCTTCTGCCCTTCTCCCAGGCAGGAGAGGAAAAACCTCGCTCCCCAGAGACAGTGGTCTCAGCAGCAGTGAGAACAACCAGTTGCATGGAGGAGGCTTCCCCAGCCACACAGGTGAGCCAAGCTTGTCTCTCAGGATCACCACTGGGTTGTGATTCTGGCCAACCCTGCAGACCTTTCCTCTTTCTGTCAGTGCTCCCATTTCCTTCCCCTTCGCACCCAGACACTAAGCGATCTCTCCACAGCACTCCCAGGCTGGGGAGCGTAAGGTAGAAACCCAACCTGCCAAGCCTCTGGTGCAGAAGAGAGCCCCAGGCTGGCCGCAGGACTCCTCCCGCAGGCTGGGTCAGGCCGGCGAGCCTCACAGTGGCATCCACAGCTCCTGCTGAGAGCCCAAGCACAGGGGCCGGCTCAGAACTTCACTCCTCTCATTACCCGTTCCTGTTCGAAGCTCTCTTACCTCCTGCCTCCTTGGTCCCCAGCTTCAGTGATACCCATTGGTAAAAGCTGTTGCAATCAAGGGACCCTGTGAAGAAAGAGTTAAAACCCCACTCTTAAGCAAACAAAAGAAAAGTGAAGGAGAATTACTACCACAACAAATTCAGTCTTGGCCCAGATGCTGGGCAAGCTGGCTTCAGTTGGAGGTGGCAGGTCTAAAGAGCACATCACCCTGCAGAACACTGCATCAGGGCCTCTTGGAAAGTCTGGGCCAGATCAGGGAAAAGTCTGGAGACCAGGACCTTGAGTGGTGGCCAGGGAGAGCCAGCGGAGCCCAGGGATGCGGGCTCCAAGTGAACTGCTGCATCCTGCACCATCCATCTGTGGCCTGGGGCTCAGCGGTGGCATGGCAGATGCTGCAGCGGGTGCTATTTCTTAACCAGAAAGCAGGCTGTGGGCTGAAAGGGGACCGCCCACTGCTGCTCACCTCCATCACCACGTGGAGATGCAGCCCCTTCCCCTGGCCGTGCCACGCTCCATCTTCCTCCCCCTGCGCAGAGCCCGACAGGGAACACTCACCCCTAGGCTGTGGCCGAAGCCGGTGCTCGGGGCTGGACTGGCAGCGCTGATGTAACTGCTGACCCCTGAGTCCTGGTTGGCGGCTCCATAAAGCTCTGCCATCGGCCCAGGGCTGGTGGTGCCCAGAAATCCACCGGTACGACTGGGGGTGGAACCTACAGGAGGCAGCAAAACTACGTAGTGAAGATCCCAAAAATGCAACCCCGTCCCACCCCCCTCCCACAGCCCATCGCAAACCTCCGTGACAGGACACCGCGCCGGGGAGGAAAGTGGCAGTTACCTGTCCCTCGC